AGGCAAAAGGACTTGCATGAGTTCAACTATTTGACTAGCAGGAATCTAGAATCTGCCTTGAGTGCTGGAGGAGAAACACTTTCTTCCCATCTACAACTCTCTGGTGTTCTTTGAGGCCATGGATGCGGGAGAGCTGAAGCGGGGTCCACATCTAAGCTTTGGAGCAAAAACGGGTGACATATGGACAAGGTGGGCAACCATTATGCGCATTAAGCATGCAGTGTTTAATCCTGACATGTGAGGCCTATGTGTTTGTAGAAAGACATAGGCCTGTCTTCAAGTGTGGGACACGCATTGCTGTGCATTTTCTTGACAGTTGCAGCAGAGTCGAGTGTGTCAGTTGCGTCTTCTGCGATGTAGAATGATCTATGCTTCTCTGGAAACTGATGGCTCATTGGGCTTGTCTCAGCTTCAACCTCCTGAAACCACTCACCAATCCGCAGGGCACCCATCGCGCTGGTACTTTCTTGCAGGTGCCCCACTGGCACAGCGTCACAGCATTGACTTCAGACCGTTACAGGCTGGGGCTTCAAGAAGGGGTGGGTTGTGGGGAGGCATCTCGGATTTGGTTAAGCTGTAAGCTATTGAAACCATTGAAGGAGAACCATGGTTGATTCAATGTCAGTGTTGTAATCCAATCGCCGTTATGCCTTCTCCATTCCTTTGACATTTTGTTGGTGTGGCAGTGCGGCTGTCCCCTTTTTGGGTGACCATTTGCATGCAGGCTTAAAGCTTCAACCCTCCTCCAACCCAAACGTTCAATCAACCCTTTCTTGTGAGCTTCTTGATTGGACAACAAAAGTCACAGGATTCCACTCTTGTACCAACTCAACATCTATGACGAAACCCTGGTGTGTAGAAAAGGATTGCTTTTTGCTGGGTTGCTTTTGGGACCCAGTATAGCCACCCATATAGCGTGTCGGATGTGCTAGGTATTCCATCTTCGGATGATGGCACCAACGTGACCACAAAAATCCCAAGAATGCCAAGAAGCCAAACGCGAAGGCAGGATTGGTGATGATATCGCCAAGGTCGGAGGTTTGCTTGAGAAACTATCATTTAGTTTCACTTTGCTTCTGGTTCTATCATTTTCAGTCGAAAACAATCTGTTTTTCTAGCATGTTGGCGGGCAAATGAAGCTGTTGACCCATAAGTTCACTAGTTGGATTTAGCACACGGATTCCCAGCCATTTTGGCCCTCAGCTGGCTGCATCTACACACATGACAGGCGCCTGGGGCTTCCACTGCGTTGGGGTGGTTGAATGTTTCAAGACCTAAAGAACAGCTGCGTAAGGAACCAGCTGGTATGGAAACTGGCGCATTTTGGAACGTAAACTGATGGACTCGTCCGGTGCGTAAGTGTGCATCGATACAGGAGAATCATTGAGAGGTCTGTTCTGAGCATGAGCACCAGGTGAGCGGCTGATCAGAGACTCTTCAACACCGAATAAAGGGACTTCAGGACTTGGATCCACTGTCCCGAACGACCATTGATTGCACTGTGAACAAGAATAGCTTAGAAGACACCCAATGAAACATGGGTTGAACTAGCCACTGCCACGCAGTCTGACGCCGTCAGTCTGACGCCGTCTGACGCCCGCTCTCCGAGGCCACATCTCACGAGTGCACATCATGGGCTGGTTGGTGTCCAGAGCCTGCGAGCGTCCCAACGACCTCGGATCACCCAGCAAAGAGGACGATTTCGTCCCTTGAATCTCTTGCACAGATTCCCATGGGAAGGTGAGGTCTAGGACATGTTGCTATTTCAGAGGAGATCCGTGTAGACTCTTTTGTCACTTCAAGCCAGTTTGCAAGGTTTGGCACACCAAGAGGACAGACCAACATCATATTCCCTAGCATGATCCTATCATTAGAGCATGCAAGTCACCAATCCTAAATGACAGCTTGAATACAAACATGTGGCTCGCATCAAGAGGGAAGAACCACCCTTCATCCACTTGATTTGGTGTGTTCATGCGTGTTCCACACTCTTTCAACTAACTGCTGGGACCGACCATACCCTTTGCTTTGCTCCTCCAGGACTTTGCTGAGCCTGCTGTTGTTTCACCACTGGAGCCTAAGCGCTACCGCCGAGAGTTTGCCATTATGACTTGGATGCTCTCGCTGAACCATGCAGCTGTCACCACACCCATCCTCTATGCGTCCTCAGTGCTGACGTGCCCTGGCTGTAAGCAAGTTTCGGCAGGGGAATCAGGTTTGGGATGCCTCACAGTGCATCAAGTGCTCAAAGAAAGATTCCGCTTCTCGGACCCAACTGGTTTGAGTGGTGGGCTTTGAGCACTTTTCGTTCTCTTCTGGCAAAACCTAGACCTAATGTTGGATAGGAAAGCGAACCCAAGGCACCAACACGAACCTGAGCAATGTGTCTTTGAGGGCTTGCCATAATGGTATTTGATGAGATACAGGGGTAACTACAAGGAGAGGGCTTGCCATGAATAGTAACCATAAGGAGATACATTTGTTGGGGCTTGCTCCAGTTTTGCCGGTCAAGCAGATTGAGCTAATGCCAACAGTATTTTCCAAATGAATTCATCAAGATTTCTCTGGTTGCTGAGATTTGTTTTTTTGCATCCCATTTTGAAAGGTCTTGCAGTTCTTGGTGGAGGGGCCTATTGGAAGCAATGTTTTACCAATCACTTTGATTGTTCATACTGATGTCTCTGGGCTTGAGTCTTGAGGTCTGTTTTGAGTGCAGTCCCCTCATCCAGAGTCTCTCTCCACACTTGTTACAGGAACGCCAGTGGCCAAGCAGGTAATGCTGTGCTCTATGGTGCAACACTGATTTGCAGCTTGTTCTTCTCCACGCTGATCTTCGGGCTTCTGGGTTCGAAGCGAGGTCTGTCGCTCTCCATGGGACTCTATAGTCACTGGGCGAATCAATGGTTGGTTTTAGGGACTTTTGGGCACCCTGCTGTTCTTATTCCGCCCTTCCCCCCCAAGTGACTCTTTTATCCATGAGGAAAAGCAAGGAATTGCATCCAAACCGGATTCGTTGTAGACACCTCCTTCGTTCTGGACCAGACTTGAGTGTCACTGAACAACAGGGTAAACACGTGGATATCACCTGGGCCTTAATAGCGGATGGAAGATTTCGCTTTTGCAGGGCAAAGCTATATTTCTATTTTGATTAAATGATATGTATGATTTTGCTATGAATTGTCGACTCTGTGGGTGAACCTGGCCAGGCGTTTACGTCTTGCTTTTTGCCATTGCAGCTGCCCTGTGTGACGAGAAACACGAAGAGAACGGCTCTTGCATCCGTGGTGGACATCTTCAGCTGCCCATCAACTTGGTAGGCGCAATGCTACGTAAGACTGGTTTGTTTTTTTGCGCACCAGATGGCTGGTTATCGAGTCTCAAACTTCAAGCCTTTCTACTGTTTTGGTTCCACAGTTCATTTCTGACTGTAGAAATGCTTGCAGTTTTGCTTTTTTGTAGGAGCCTTGGTGGGCGGCCTTGGCGCCGGCATCCTTTGGACCTGTCAGGGCGCCTTTTTCTCTGAGGTCTGCGCGCGTGTGGCAGCGGCTGAGGGTGATGACATGCCCAAGGCAGTGTGGAGGGGAGATTGTGGTCTGTTGGACCCTAAGCAACACGCCAAAGAAATGACAGTGGACGATGTCCAGATACTTCCTCTCATTTTGGGATCCGGTGATGCTCCTGAATTTCAAATCTCTATTGATTTTTGTGTGTTTACTTCGTTCTTCTCGGCATTTGCCCATTCTTCTTGTTCATTTCTCCCTCTTGCTGCCAAGCTTCTTCCTTGTGTGTGCATTTGTTTTTACACCAGCATTTTGAGATGCATCTTGCATCTTTTCCGCCGAACTCAATTGGTTGTGTCAAAGAGTTTGTTGCCACCTGCACCTCAGGTCACTGCAGAGTTGGCTGGATCTTTTGCACTAGTTTTCTTGGCAATGGAGGCCCTGGCAAGGGATGGGTGGAGTTCATACATGTGTGAAGGGGGGCTGAAGGATGCTGCTCCCATGAAGTTTTACGTCTCCACACATTTATGCTGATGGTGGGAATGTTGCTTTACTTACAGATGGCAGAAGGCTTTCGTGATGCAGTTATTGCCAACTTTTTTTGTATCATTTCTATTTGACGCAGAGTCAAAGGCTAGAACAAGCCATTTGTTGGCTTGTGAGAACGAAGTGCATCGGATAAATTGCAGATGTCACCGGGGCGAAGATCTGATTCGGGCACGAAGTTTTGATATAATATCCATGACTCATGATATTTTGGGGTCCCTGTACCTTGTTGTAAATACTCAACGTCTTATCCTACGAGCCCTTCTTTGTTGCGAAAGGTTCTTTAGGTTCGGTGCAAACATGACATCGAGATGAAACAGTCGTCCATGGGAAGATCAGTGCGATAAGCCACTGCTGGAGATGCCCCGCATTCTGACTTCCCCATGGGCCCCATAGTGGTGAAAGTGGTGAAAAATGATCGTGGCCAACGTGAACTGGATACGTTTTCTGCAATTTTACACCTAGTGATAAGAATTACGATGGACATCAATTTATGCAAGCTAGTTCACTTCCGGCAGATGGGGGATCAAGAGAAATGCTATAATGATCAGCTATATGCTGGGTTGATTGGTGATTCCACACATTTTTTTACAGATTATTCTCTGGGTAAGTTCAGCTAGCGGCGAACAGGTCCTGCTGAGCGTGCGATGACAGCAACATTTGTTTCCTCATACTTGGGCAATGGGCAATGTCTGAAACTAGATTCGCAAAAAAGTTTTGCTTGGGTGGAACTAGAATGTCTTGTGTGAAGGGTGCAAACAAATTGCTGAGCACTTTGGTGCCGAGGCCTTTGTGGCACCTCTGCCATGCAGACACAATAGTATGTAAATGGATTCAGGGGGGACAACGCACCATCCCTTTCATGCCGCAAAGGAGAAAGATCATATCCTTGGAATGAGAATTTGAACCTCACACGTCACTCTGCATGTACGAAACGGGGGGGGAATGCGGAGACTGTTTGCATTGCATCAAAGTTTCCAAGGATAACTTGGCAGCAAAGGAACTTTTGTTTCTTTGTCACACTTCATCACGGGAGGCAACTCAGCACAAACTGCATGTTGGAGTTGGATGACCTGGGAATATCCTGACAGCCCAGGCCAGATAGTTCCATTCTATGAACAGATGATTGATGTCTACCTCATTTTTGGTAGGTCAGATGATCCGACACCCGGACTTCAAGGCCATGCAATCTTCATTTGCGGAAGTTTTTGCAGGGGGATGTCGCCAATTTTCAATATCAATTCTATTACTCCATTCTCTGCCTCACATCTACCCGTGACTTGTGCTCTTTTGCAATCTCTTTCGCAAGGGGAAAACGTCAACGTATGCTTGTGACGCCAGCCCAGCGGCCGGCTGTGTCATAGCTCGATGGAGAAAATGCTACTGATGCTTGTTGCTACTTTTTGCATTTTCTAGCACTTTTCATGCCACGACACAACAGCTCCTTTGGCCTGGTTGAACAGTATGCACGCGTGGCGTGATACAGCCTGATCACCTTCGCATGAACTACACTCCATCCATCTTGCATTCACTCACCTCGTGGTGACGCCGCTTCAAGGATAAGCTTGCAGCTGGGAATGAGTCTTGTATCTTCTTCGTGCTTCTGATAGTTTTCTGCAGAATTCCTCGGTCTGCATATACTGCAGTAGTTGTACTGTTTCCTGAATAGATTGACCTTTCAAGGTTTAGAAAGAAACCACAGAAACAAACACGAAAACAAATACACAGAACAACTCAACATACCGCTCATCCTTCAAGTTGTTGGTCTTGGATCAGCCACTGCTGGAAAACCACCTAAACACACCGCAACTCTTTCAGAGTGCAAACTTCTCAGATTCCTTCAGATTCCCCTTGAAGCCTTGGGTTGCACAGATTCTTCTCCCCGCTCTGATTGTCACCAGAAAGTAGGCACTTCCCTATGGCCCACCAGTGCAGCACAAAAACATGCTATCAGATGTCAAGAGTTCTTGAACTCCTCGAATGCTCACATCAGTTGTACTGTTCAAGATTGAAAGATCGTTTTCCGATTCTCTACCATCTTTTGAGTTCGCTTCACAGATCTCGTCTTTTGGAAATACTCTGTAGGAGGTCGCTATTCATCGCATGAGCTTTTGCTCGCCACTCATGGACAAGCATCAGGGGCACCAAGCTGAAAGCAGCGGTTTTTTAGTCTCAGCAACTAGCGCTTTCCTGAGTTCCACAACTTGCGAGTGCACGCATCTGCTGGTACAGTTGTGCAGTTGGCACAGGGGTAGTGGAATTTTTAGATGACATGCAATTGCCCCCCCCAAAAAGGTAGCTACAAGCAAAAGTATCTACTGTGGTTATCCTAGGCAGGTGATCTCCTGCCAGGACAGTACATATCATTAAATCACATGTGACCTATGTGGCAAATTGCACAACCTTCCGTGAACATCTTGACCTTCCCCACACAAGGCCGTGGTTAGGGCTTCCGCCACTATCTTGACCAAGCACGCGCATCTTGATTATCCAGCAGCTCCTTGCCTGAAAAGACACCCACACCCACACACACCCACACACGCACACACAACTTCATGCAGTGACTACTTGGTGACCAGTTCCTTTTTTTGGTATTGAAGGCAATTGAAGGTGTAGGACAGAATGCCGTGATCGTTTGCTTGTATGCCAAGGTCTTCCTCATTTTCGCCGGCCTTGCTGTAGCCTCCACTGTGATTTTTCAGCTGCTGGCCAAAGAGACAGAAAGCGAGCCGCGAAGAACGGGCGACCTTTGTGGTAAAGCGCTGAGCGCACTTCGACAATGGACGGATCCACAGACCTGGTTCCTGCAGTGCACCAACCTCACGTTTCTAGGCCAATGACGTGGGGTTGGGACTTGGACCCATTTTCGGGAGGGAAGACGCTGTTGAAGCAGCAGTACAGACTTTATTGGTGTCATCTAGTTCTAGGTTCTTTAAAGGCCATCCCATGAAAGCCCTTGGGCTCAATGTGAGGCTAGCTTCAGCAAGAAGGGTTTAGACTGCACACTCTTACGCACGCAAACCCTTCGAAGTCAGGATTTTGGAGGATTGAGCAGCGGTTGATCAGCATCTACGATGCACACCAGGTCATTGGAGCTTGTGCAGAGAGATATTCTCCAAAATCCGGTGAACAGCGAAATCACTTGGTCATAGCAGCCCTGATCCATTGCTTCCGCTCCAAAGCCTGAAGGCAACCACGCCGAGCACCTATCCCTATGGGCCAAAACAAGTTGTTGACGGAAGCATTTTTGCTCCAAATAACTAGGAACAAGAAGCTACTAGGGGCTCCTGGCCTTACTAATAGGAGCAAGAAGCCACTAGGAACAAAAGGCATCGCTACTAGGAGCAAGAAGCTACTAGTCATTTTCGTTTCACCTATCATCTCATCCCATCTTCGACTTCAACACTGGTTCACCTGGAGAACGCCCACGAGATCCGAGACCGCGTCTCCCCCGGGGAGACCCGGGGAGACGACTGAGGTTCGGCTTTGCGGCCGCATGGCTGGGTGGACACATCGGCCGAGAGATCCTCACCGAGGCGTTGAGTAGCGAGTTCATCGGCTATGCAGGGGCCTTGCTCTCGGCTTTGGCCAGTGGATTGTCCTTGGTGCTAGGCAGGATGCGGTGTGGGATTGGACACATGATGGCACCGGATTGGTGGTATCTTTTACTCTGTTGGGTTGGCTCGGTTTGCCGGCGAACTGTGGCCCCTTGCAAGGCTGGCAAGTCTTAGGCAGTTTTGGACTATCAATTCCCTTCTCGGGGTCTTTGGGAGGTCTCCCTATTTTGATGCACACCCAATATAGCTTTTCAAAGACCAACATGTTCGCAGCTTTTCTCACCACTCGATCAAGCCCCTCACATGTTTCGGCCACCACGCTTGGGCGAGGCCAAGTCGCCCGAAGGATGGGCAAAGGCCCAGTGGTGGCTTTGGGCTCGATGGCGTTCCTTTTCCTGGGAATCCTCAGCAGCTCGATTTCAGCACAGGTCGACACGAATGCCTGACGGGTTTCGGATGTTTTCGGATGGTTTGAGGGTCTCAAAGGAATTGGCAGCTGGTTCACCCGTGCACTGGATGCAGTTTCAATGACCCTTGACAAGCACAGCCACAAGAGCTTTTGCTTGGCATAGATAGATGATGTGGTCATTGCGGAAGGAGTTGGCCCTTGCTGTTTTTGTTTGGCTTTGAGCAACCATTTCCTTCGTGCTCACAGCTTGAGTCAGAGTTATATAGATGTTACAAAAAGATCAAAAAGTGAACCATCCCGAAAAGTGAAGTTCTCGCATAGATCATCATAGATCTCCCTGGTCTTGTGTGCGCTTGTGCGCTTCTGCATGCTTCCGCCGGCCTACGTTGGGTCGGTTGGGTGTCCAAGGCCAATATGTGGGGAAGCCGGCAACCTGGGGCTGGGGTGTCTTGGTTTTCTACCTGCTCATGGGCCTTGGCCGAGCGGTGTCGCTCGGCTGTCTGCAAATAGAAGACCATAAGGTCCTTCAGCTGTGCAACAAACTGTTGTTCTGTTTACCAGAGACTATCCTTCAGCTACGTTTGTTGTCGGTTGATGAACATAAATCATTTCCATTGGGTAGTTCCATTCATCGGGGATTACTGTAATTACTCACAAGACCCGCTTCTGGTGCGCAGTCCTCTCGAGACTTGGCCAGATAGATTCACGCAGGGCCACGGCCTCTTTTGAAAGAGACGGTTCCTTTTTGGATAGATATGTGAGTCAAGGCTCCTGTCCTTTGCTTCACTGGTCGCGCAGGCTTTCCTAGTGTTTTGATGCCTTTGGACCACGCAACTGGTCCCAAACACATCCGAAGCTCCCCCATCTCGTGACACATGCCTCACTGCGCTTGCTTTGGCCTCAACCCCGAGGTATGAAAGCACCAACAAGGCCATTTTCGCAGACTTCTTCCCAGGGGAGAAGAGTGCTGGGGCGTTTGCGAACGTTTTTGTCTTCGGGACCTCAGCCTCAACAGTGGCCTTCACTCTGGGTGCAGTGGGGAAAGCCAGTGAGGAGTGAAGGGGCGGCTGATGGCAAACATGGGAAACAGAAATGCATATTGCACTTGAGGTTGTGTCGTTGCGCCTTCAGGGTGAGTGTTGTGGAGGGGTTGGGCAAAGCGTATCTTTGGCCTTTCGTGCACTTGCGAAAACAATGGTCAACCGTCAAGAGACACAAATAGAAATACAAAAGAACGAAGCACAGGAGAAACGCAGCACCAGTCTGACGCGTGTGAGGTTTCCTGTTTTGCTGTGTCATTGAGGTTGGTTTTTTGCAGGAGGTGAGTTTGGCGAACCTGGGCAGAGTTTTGCTCCAATCCGCAAGTAAGTATATGACTAGACAGAGGGTCGGATAAATCTTAGGTTTTGATCCAGTCCGTCCAATGCGTCTCAAGCAAACCCCAAAGTGAAAAGGGTTTGCTAATGCCAAGCAGTCTAGACTTGAAGACAATTCCACAGCGCAACAGAGATTACAGCTTCAGATTCACCGTCAACAGAATCCCTCGGATGCACTCCCCCGTAGAGGCAACAAACCTTCCGAAACAAGCTGGTGCATTTTTAACCCTACTTTTTGTGGGGACAGGTGCAATTGTTTGGAGTGCAAAAGGCCTGACTATGCAGCATTTCAACCTCAGCTCGTGCTTTCGGGGGTTGGTGTTGCACCAAGATAGACTAGCAGATAGACTTGCGCAACCACGAATGCTGTTCCTATTTGACCTCTAGCAGATGTCAGACAAGATGTGCTATCCATGTTGTGACCATGTGCCGTCCGCCGCAAGCAGCCCCCAACTCCCTGTGCCGCGCGCTGCGCAGGAGTTGTACTTGTTACTGACCTTCGCAGTGCTCACGATGCCCGGCTACCTCACTGCGTGTGTGATCAAGCGCCATCTGGAGAAACGCGAGCAAGAAACAGCTTCGCCTTCGGTGGAAGCTTCTGTGTGAGCTTTTGGTGTCGGTCCGAAGGTGGCCATTTTTCGTCATGGAGAGCCGTTGAGCTGTTTCTTTTTGCTCAAACAAACATGGTGGGTATTGCAGATCCTCCAGTTTCTGAAAAGTGGTATTGCTTGGGGCCCACACCTTCTAGGACCCTTTGAATTCCTTGTTCCAATCTTGCAAGATCAGCCTGAACTCGGCCCAACTGATTGTCTCGATGCCCAGGGTTCCTGGAGGGTTGTATAGCGGCGAGCACAGTGACACATCGCCTTAACCTCCTCCAGTCCTCTGGGCGAAGTCGACCTGGACAAACTTGGATGACCATTTCCCCGTCATGGTTCTCCCGGTCCCCGTTGACTATTAAAGCAAACAGATGCAAACATCAATCCTTTGTAGCGACCAGTCTTGCCAATTCCCACCCTCCAGAACAATCAATATGAACAATTGGAGAACACAATGTGGATCATCTGAGCACAATGGCCTTTTATGTGTACTGCTTCTCTTTTGCAAGTTGAGGGGAGAGGTTCTCTCAACTTGCACAGGCAGCGCCAGACCCGGCCGTGCCAGACTCGGCTGTGCTTTTGTCGCCCGAATTCCGGGCGGCGGCGCTCGGGGACGAAAAGTGGCTCTAGAGGGAGGAGCTCCGAGGAGAGAGGAGAACCGAGAACCATTGGCAATTTGGAATGATTCAGACGTGCCGCGTCTAACAGAATGCCACCGGCGCTGTGCGGAGGCTGTCGTCAAAAGAAGCAAGAAGAAGATGTTGAGGCCTGGCAACAATCCGTTTACAATCCACATTCCTGATCACCCAACAAGTACGATCTACATATATAAGTAGAAGTCTTCCCGCTTGACATGGAGACTCTTGCAGCACTAACATGCTCATGAGTCCCGTCCTATCACTGCTAGTCCACAGAAAGTCCAGAAGAAGTCCAGAGGATCCAGAGCTCAGCTGAGCTTCTGCTTTTCCATTTGTGGCCTTTCTTCTGATAGGACTGGGCGGAAAGTGGCCAAGACCTGAGTGCCAGCTACGAAAAGGGAGACCTGTTGCGGACCCGTCACGGCTCAGAAAAAACACACTTGAGATACGTCTTGCACTTGCTTCATCTTAGTGCTCGAGTTAATTTTTTTTGATTCTGTACTTGGACATGCAGATCAGCAATATTCGGCAATAACCTTTTGGACATCCAGATGCTTGGACACACTACAGGCAACCTGTATTCATATGCAATTGTTCCATACTACACCCTCTTTGCTTTCCGTCTTGCTTCACTTGCAAGATGATAGCTAGGCTCAGATTTGATCAATGCACTGATATGGACCCATATGTGACACCCTGCCGACACTCCGTTTAAAACATGCAGACAAGGACAGGTCACAACAAACCGGCGATCATTTTTACTATTCTTGGTGTTGAGGCTTTCGATATTTTTCGATTGAAAGATTGTTTGAAGGCCATGATGCCACTCGCTTTCAACTTTGATCATTTTCTTGCATCGGCCTCATCATCGGTTCAAGCCGCCACCGGCTGCCAAGAAGGAGGAGATGACAGAGCTCGCGTGCGGGTCCCCCGTGCAAGTTGGACAAACACCAACAAGGGGTCACAAGCTTGCTGTTGAACGGCGCTTTGATCGCCCCTTTAGAGGATGAACTATAGTTTGACAACTCTAAAGCCAGTTGACCAAGACTTTTTGCAGCGCCAGGACGTGGTTTTACCTTGAACCATTCCACTTGAAGCCCAATTCGTTCATGATATTTCATGATTGGCTTCTTTGAGGTCTCCTTGTGGGCATTGTAGGCGAGCTGGGTGCGAACTCATGTGTATGCCGGCATGGAGAAACGTTGAGCATTGAATCTCGTATATTTTTGGTAACATGTTTGCAACAAAGCTTGTCGCATATGGAAGGTCTGGCCGAGAGCTCCGCATGGCAAAAGGATATCAGACTGCATATCACCGCAAGAAGTTTGGGTGGACGGTAGCTTTGAGGTTTGGGCTCGACCTGACTGCATTTGACGTTGCTATTCAGCTTTTTGCAGGGAAAACGAGAAAGTCCGCTCCTTATGTTGTATGACAGGGATAAGCATTCACCTGACAATACTGGACATTGCCAGCTTACTACTATATAATCGCTAAACAGTGAGATCAGATCGTATCCCATTGTCGGGGGATATCACCCACAAGAGCATTCAGCCGTTGCAAGCCCTGTGCTGCTGCTTGTGAACTGTTGAATGGTGCTGTTTGAGGCGGTGCGTTGCTTGTCGAATGGATCTATGAATGCAACTGGTCTGGGTAGTTGTGGGCGTTTCAGGGGTTTTCGCGCGATGTGCGATGCAATGGATGGGGAAACCCATTCCTGAGTCTAGGTGATCCAGGTAGTGACCGATTCTATAACCAGTATGAAGTGCTTTGCTTGGCGGTGCATGTCTTGAGCCTTTGATCGCACCGCGGCCATTTGACAGATCTTGACCCCTTACGCCTTTTGGGTCCGGCGAAAACCTTGCGGTCGGCTGCCATAAGCTTTGTTGGTGGCTGTTCACAGTGGCACCGGAGCCTTTGATCGCGGCCTTTGTCCTCGAGCCCTACTCGTGCTCCCTTGGTTGGTGGCATTGCGGGCGCCTTCGGCTTTGCTCTGGTCTTGTGGTTGCTCTTTGCACGAGAGCTTTGTTCACAGCCTTCCTTGAGGGTGATCCTTGCGGACACGGAGACCTCGATTAAGGACAGGGCGAATAAGTGCTTCCTGGAACTCAATAGGCCCATGCGCGAGGCCAGACAGAAGCTTGCCGAGGTGAAGAAAGTTCGCGGCTATGGCTATGGTAAAGCTGCAGCGGACCCCAAATCCAAGGTTGGTGCTGTGGCCTTCCCGGCCACTGGGCTGGTGATTCAGAGTGCACCAAGCCAGGAGCTGGCCTTGGCAGAAAAGGTCCGCCTCCAATGAAACCGAAAGCCTTGAAGGTTGTGGAGACCCTCAGCTCCGAGCATGTTGTTGAAGATTGCCCCCCTCAAAAAGCCTCTCACGAAGCTTTTGCTGTGACGTGTCCGTCGGAATTGCTCGCCTATAGGTGAAGTTGTGCAATCTCCACAAACCCCACCTCGTGAAGTTCATGCTGTTGGCACGTTGTCTCATGAGAAGCGGTTGGCAGAACCGTCACAGGTCCTCAGTTGTTGATCAGCTACCTTGAAGCCGCCTTCGAGCTGCCCCTGATGAGATTTGGTCTTTGGTGGACAACAGCCCCGAAAGAGAAGTGTTTCGTTTTGGTGATGGTGGCACTCAGGTCTGCAGGTGGCGGCTTCCTATGGTCATCGGGGTCCCTTCACTTGGTCTTCTACTTGGACGGGACTTCCTTGGGGCCACCATGAGTTTCTCCCGGAGGGTGATCAAGTTTGACTTCCTCAACACTTCCTGCTGCGCCTCATCCCTCGCCGACGGCCAGGTGTGGGAACTCAGAAGTGGCGCAAAGTTGGCATTGATGGAGTCGTTGAGTTACAAGGACTTTGCGAGAGTGGTTGACTATGATTCCTGGTGCGCAAGGAGGGATGTCTGTCTCCTCTGAAATGGAGCCCAGCATGAGTCACAGAGCCCTCAAAAAAAGGCGGTGTAGGCGGCTACCTTCTCTGAGAAGGAACGTAAAATAAGGAGGCGCGTGTCTCCTGCTGCACGCACAAGGAGGCACGTCTGTTCTCTGAAATGGGGTCTAGCGTGATTTGAAGGAGGCGCGTGTCTCCTCGTCGGCGTGACGCAAGGCTAATGTCTCCTACGATTAAAGAGTAAGGAGGCGTAGCGCGTGGGAATGGAGGAGGTCTGATAGACGGGTTTTGGACGAAGGTTTCCCGGAAGTAGAAGTTCACGTCGTGGTTTAATTGAACGCGCAGCAGGCCGCTCCTTAGTCTGGACCCTCAGTCTTTGCTTCAATGGGAATGCGCTTTGTCTTCTTGTTCTTGGCGGTGGCGGTGATGGCGCCAGATGGACCTGGGGGGCCGGCCCCCCCGAACCCGCCCGGTCCCTTATAACGGGAGTGTTTGCTCAGCTTTGGTCGCTGTTGCCTGCGGCTTCCTCAGTGCCACCGCCCTCTGCAACACGACCTTGAACATGACCGAACATACCCTACACAAAGCCATTCCCCAAATTGCCCAACTCAGCGTAGACAAACGGTCGAACTTGGACATGTAGTTTTGCTCCAATCAGCGCAGATTAGCTAACAAAAGTGGTCGAACTTGGCTGCATCGAGCCGTCTAAGACAATCTGGTGTGGGTGTCGGTCGGCGGTTGTTCGGTGTCACTGCTGCCACTTGTTTCGACGTACGCCCAGACATTTGCTTTGGCATTGGCAACTGTTCTGACTTTCTAGTTTGCATACCTTTTGATATCCTTCCGGGCACATCTTCTGGCATTCTACCTGGCATATATAGTCTGACCTCCTTTCCGGCGTTCTTCTACCTGGTATATCTTGCGCCGGCCATCCTAACTCTAACTGGCATATCTTCTGACATCCTGTCTACCTGTCACATCTTCTGACGGCATTCTATGTGTGTAAGGACATTTATTGGAAGCCTGGCCCTGCGAAGAGACGTAAGAAGAACAAGGGCAAGGAAAGGGTCTTCTGGTACAATAAAGAGGGACAATGGCATCCCTTTGAAGAGAATGAGAATGAGGAGGAGGAGTACATTCCCGCAAGGTCGTCCTTGTGGCATGGATGGCAAGACTGGTCCACGGGTGGCGCAGGTGGTGGGCGCTGGACGTGGGTGTGCCAGATTCAGGAACGCGCACACTCTTTCAGGCCACTCTTCTTAGGAGGAGATTTCAAACCTGAGGCAGCAACTTCATACCTCCTGTCAGCCTTTCTGAAATCCTTCACACATCTCATGGCTGACCAAGAGATCTCATTCACAGATTTTCTGGGCAGGAGATTTCAAACCTCCTTTTCAGATTTTCTGACAAGTATTTCAAACCTCCTCACAGCTTGTCATTTCTGAGTCAAAGATTGCACACTTCCTTCACAGATATTCCGCGCCAGGAAATATGCTGAGGAACCGGAAGCTTGGAAAAGTGAAAGCAGCCATAGTTGCTGAGCAATGTTCAAAGGAAACCATGGAGCGCTGCGAAGTGAAGAGAGAGCTTGTGGAATGATTTAAGTTAAGCATGGGGGACCTGACCGGATGCGCCGCACCAAATCCATCCACCGCACCAACCAGCGCCTGCACTGGCCGCAGCTCAAAGCAAGCGCCAGGTTGCAGTGAAGCGCCATATCGCAGAAAAACTCCCACATCAGAGCCTCAACAGCAAGCTCCAGATCGCAGTGGGTATCCCCAGATCTCTGCCTTCTTCCAAATCCCTTTTCAGGGTGGGGATCACTCACAGTATATAAAGTACCACTCACAGACTCACAGTATATAGAGTATTTTTTTTGGCTTGCCGAAGAGTTTTGCATCGAGACGTCTCAACTTCGCAGTGCTTTGCTTTCACTGATGTGGTGATGTGGCAAGCTTCACAATCGAATCATGTTTCTTTTTGAGGTGACTGAGTACTTTATCCAAAGAGATGTGGCTCGCTTGCAACATATTGCCAGAATCGTGTAAACCTACAGAGTTTGCCGCGCTTTTAACTGGTGCAAAGGGTGAACGACGCTACCCAGCTACCCAGTCAAAACTTCAATTTACGTAGATGGTCGGCGCCACTTTCATGACTCATTTAAAACCATGTCCTCTTGGCAGATGGACAAGATGGGTCAATGGGTCAATGGGGACAAAAAAACGGAACAACTGGATCTAACTGGGTTTAGTCCGTCGATTGTGCCCAAAGACTTGGTCAGATGTCTCGATGTATTGTTTCACTGGATATGTTTTGTCAGTTTTTAGGTTTGAACAGTGATGAGAGCAAACTCCTGAACATTCTGATGACATCTTGGATATCTGCAAGATCCAACACATGTAAGTCAAGCGCGTGAACAAAAGCAAACAACGGCCTTCCATAGGGATCTAGGTGCTGGTTACACAAGAGTTTTAACATCATATTTTTTTTTCCTCCGACCAGCCAGGCCAGTAAAGAAACACAATTTGATGACCCAAAAAAATTGGAACCCACACAAGTGATCAGAATGAAGACACTTGCCCTTCGGTTCCGAGGCCCTTGCCGCCATCTTCCTGGGTTTTGGTATCAACCCAAATGTGTCGCACGCCATGGCCAGAACACCCTGTGGCTATCCTGGTTTGGTTTGCGATGATGCTGGTTTTGTGATCTTCATCGGCATCTCAGGATGGGAACTTGATGCAGAATCCTCACGAAGTGATGAGGGGGACACAGGGACACACAGGGACTGGGGATTGACATGCTGCAGGTCGGAACAATGATGATGGATTCATTTGGAACATTTTGGGATCCAACTAGGAGCGTGTCTTCCCGGTTTCCCATGTATTGTTCGTTCATTTTTCAAAGGATTAATGATTAGGGGAGCCTGGGGCAGGGCCTGAGGCAGGGGACGACCAGATAGAGGATCTGGGTGGGTCCAACACTGAGAGGATCAGGCGGAATCATTTCTCCGCTTTCTCATGTGAGAATGATGCAAGAACACTTTGGAATCTGGAACTTCTTGCCTTGAAGAACCGTTCAGTTGAAAGAGGACACCCAAAACATCTTGCTGCATCACTCAGCAAACTCATGAAAACTCTCCTTGCAGGAGGCCTTCCGGGGGAGATATCCTGGGAAATTGGAAAGCTTCAGAAGCTGGAGGAACTCCATCTTGCTGATAACTGGCTGCGTGGAGAGATTCCCAGATCCTTGGGCTCGCTGAAACGCCTAGAGCATTTGATCTTGCGAGACAATCGCTTGACAGGGGACATCCCTGCGGAGCTTGGAGAGCTGAAGGCCTTGAAGAAGCTCTTACTAAGCCATAACTATCTCACGGGCAGAATTCCGAAGGAGCTAGGCGCACTGAAAGATTTGAAGGTCCTTTCTTTGGGAAAGAACCTGCTCACCGGTGAGATCCCGAAGGAATTGGGACACCTGATGTGATTGAGCAAATTCTTTGGACATTGTTTCTTTGCCACAATGTCCCCTGAGAGAGTGACTGTCTAGTAGCCGTGGAGCATATTTTTGTGCATGGTCTTGGATCTTTTTGTTCATCGAAGAAGCTTGTGGTGTTTTTCATTGTTCGACGCACAGTGAGCATTGCCAATGGCCACAACCCTTAGTTGCATGACCGAATTGATTCCATGTCAGGCGATAGTCACGTGCCTTCATCCCATTCTGTCATAATCCATCACTTCATGTTTTTGTATTTTTTATGGAGAAGATCTGTGGATAAAGTCATCATCGCGTCACTGCAAATATGGTTGAGAACAACTGACCTGTAGCCCCCATACGCTTTGTTGTCACAAGCAACTTTGTCCCACAGCTTGTAATGTTAGACTTCCCCCAAATAGAGACCTGATATGTTTATATACATATACAACCACATATACAAAAGGATGCAAAAGGCTTCTAATCACATATTATATATATATAAATACATACACAGATACTTTTGTCAGATTTGCAAGTCCTCCAAACCAATGCGCATAGGAGCCCTACATTGTAGAAAGAGAGACGTGATCAGAGAGGTTTGCATTAAAGACAAGTTGATGCAACGCCCCATGAATACCACACATACCCGACCCCTTAACAAGCTGTGTATCCGAGGTCAGCTGAAGTTCCTGACACATTTGAATTTGCGTCAGAACCTTCTAAGCGGTGAGATTCCCAGGGAGCTTGGCAATTTGAAGGCGCGAAGAGCTGGAAAAGGCCGTGAAAGATGGGGGGAAGACATGTCTGTCGCAACGGGTGGTTTCACCGCAAGGAAGACCTGGAATGAGCCCACCCGCCTAGGAAGACCTTAATCGGTTTTCACATTTTTTCTGACTCAGCTCTAGCACCCTGGCAGGTGCTTGAATCGCTTTACCTCTGTCAAAACAACCTCACAGGTCCGATCTTTACAGAAGTTGGCAACTTGCGACAACTGCGGCAGCTCGCGCTATACCAAAACCGCCTCAGCAGTGAGATCCCACAGGAGATCTCCCAACTCCGCCTTCTTGAAAGCTTCTCGTTTTGACCGTTTTCCAAGCCCGTGTTCTTTGTTTTTGGAGGACTCATGATGTTCTCGTTTGTTTTCGAGAGTGGCTTTTGAGGTTTGATAAAAGGGGCGATCGTTTCATTCGGGAGGTAGACCAAACTCTTAGCATTTCTTGTTCCTTCGTTTTTCTGTCTCGTGCGAGATAGCCTTTTTCAACAGAGCAAACAACACACGGGTCCGGTTTTCTAAGTGAAAGCAGGGACATCACAGCAGGGATCATCACTGCAGGGATCATAACTTTGCTTCAGGAATAGGATTCATGTATTTTGCTTCCAAAGGCCTCAGCTTGAGCCAGAACCAGTTGAGCGGCCAGATCCCTCCTCAGCTGGGGCAACTGGTGGAATTGAAGTATTTGAATTTGCACAGCAATCAGCTTTGGGGGAAGATCCCGCGAGAGCCAAGGAATTGCCAATCAGACGTTTTTGATTTCTGACAACCGGGAGCTCGAGGAGACCTAATTAACTAAAAAAAGAGCAGCCCTTGCATACAGCTGTCATGATGATTCTTTTCGATGCCATTTATTTACCTTCTTCATTAAGATGGTCTCAAATTCCCTCAGATGTTTGTCACGAAGGCAGCCAATAGGCTAGGTTGAAGTTATCTTCTGCGAACGAAGTGAGTCTCTCTAGTGGATGTAAAGCACGTTAGCCTGCTGCTGTTTTTACATTGCCAAGGATATGATTCTTGGTGGGTTGGTGATGCAGAAGATGTGAGGTGAGTGGGTTAGTAACGGTTAGTGCATCATTTGCATCAGCAACCTGCTCTAAAGAGACTATTTAGTTTATGTGCATTGAATGTTGGCCTTGGAGACCTTGGGAGCCGTTTCCTACGTGGGGGGACGTGCTTTCGTTTCCCCCTTCTCAGGCTTTTCGTTATCCTTTTCTCCGATCCCTGTTTGGGCGGACCCTAACAGGACCGGCCACGGTACTATACCTTGATCATCCTTGATCCGTCAGTCGACCCTCAACATGTTGAGCCCTTCCGTTTTTTGGGTAAGCCGGGTAAGCAAGCAGCAGGCTCACAATACTCTGGACATCTTTGGACCCTAAGGTTTACACACTCACAAACTCGCTGGCACCAGCTAGTCTCTGTACAACTCATGCATGCTAGTCTAGGGGAAGCCTACCGGGTGTTGGAGGGTGTGCCTGTGTGCTCTAGCCTCCTGTGGAGGTGGGCTGGGCAAACTCGCCCATCTTAGGACCTGGGAAGTCTTCAGAAGCTCACCTTGCTTCAGCTTGCCCAAAATCAGCTCACGGGACAGATACCCTTCGAGTTGGGCCTGGCTACCAATCTCAGCCGCCTGGAGAATTGATGCCCCCAAACACGAAGAAGAGCAGACTGGAATACCGCATACGCATTTCATCCAAACCTCATGAAAGGATTTGTATAAGATGTGGTGTAGAGGAACAAATTTACACTTACAGGCAGGGAGTCCGGGAAAACCGCATTTTGTTTGGACCAATTTTGAGGGCACTGTCCATTGACGCATTGCGCGTGTTTCCCTTTGACCTTGCTCTGGAAACAAGCGTGCACAAACTCTTTCTTAAAAGCTATTGACTTCACAAAAAGTATGGTGACCCAAGCAAACTCACAAATCGTGTGCCCGCAAGCGGGACAAGAGTTTATTCCGATCATCCATCCTCCCACGCGTTGCAAGGGATACTTCATTTGGAGAAGAATCAGCTGCACGGACAGATTCCTCAGTCAATCTTCAACCATGCAGGCGAGGCCCGAGATTTCGTTGGAAACCAAGTCGATCCAAAAGCCAACATTTTGCAACGCCAGAATTCTCGAGAATTGACCCTTCGCTTGTTCTTGAAGATTCTCGATCCAAACGACAGCGACGGTGATGTGAGTTTTTAAGTGCGGCCGCTTCGTGCGGACTGGAGGCTTGCAGCAGCTGCACCTGCATCACAACCAGCTGTGGGGCCAAATAGGCAGGGCGGCTCCTGGACCCACCCATTCGCTGGTTCTTTCTTTGTGTTTCACCATATGTTTTTTCTGATGTGCAAAACAAACTATCCCACGCGATGTGTGTGTGTGTGTGTGTGTCCACTCCTGTTTCCAAGGACACTACCCTAGTTTCGCTAATCTACTCTACAAGCGTTTCTGTACAGACGCAGGGGGCCAGCGGCCGACAAGCAAACGCTGGCTAACAAAGCTATGCTTGCTCGGTGGATGCGGTCAGAGACGTCTGACTGTGTACCTGCAATTTTTAATATACACTAAATTAATACTTCTTGTTGAAACATTCAAGTGAGCGGACTTTGCACTTCTTTCCGTTGAATCAAGTCAAGGGCTAAGTATTCACCTAAAGGGCTAATGCACACCGCGAAGCTACCTGAAATCACGCTCCACGGAGCAACCTTCTCAAGTGTGTCTTCGCAGCTTCTTCCCACTGTGGTGAGCTGTGTGATCCCTACGGGGCGCCGTTACCGCAAGAACCTGTTCACTCCTCACCGAGGGAGTAAGTTTCCTGAATTTTCTCTGAAGTCCTTTTGACTGAATTTGACCTGCTCGAAATCAGCTTGGATCGTCTCACCCAGCACACGTGAAGATTACTGCAGAGTTCACTGGAATCCTTTCTGAATCCCACTGCAGAGTTTACTGAAAGCGTTTCACCCGGGAAATCCATTCATACTTTTCCAATCTTTTTAACCTTTCAAATCTTTTTCACTTTCCAAGTTTTAATTCCATTTTCCAGAGTTTTAATTTCAGTTATTCAATACACTTCACAACTTTTACGACTCCACGGACCTGTATTTATGTATTTATTATTTATTGATACATACTTACATATTTTCACTGTCTTTGACCTGCCGAGCAGCCATGACGTATCCCTGGCCCTATTCTTTGCCGCCACACATCCATCCACCACCACAACCTACACAACCTCATTGGATTCAATTTCCACCACAGGCTTCACCACAACCTTTTTCAACACCGCCACCGACTCCACCGCAACATCTGACCTCACACCACTACCCAATGCCCATCACACCTCCACCTCATGCTCAATACATCCAATCACATCAACTTCAGGCACATTTTCCAGTGCAACCTACAGCTCCCTTCGGCACTACCCAACTTGCGCAACAACATCCACATCTCACAACTCAATCACCACAATCCCCAGTTCCCACACATCTTACATTGCCACTTCAGTCCCAATCTCAATCTCAACCACCTCCTCATCAACTACATCAACCACATCTACCACATCTACCACATCAACTACATCCATCACCACACACGACAGATCAAACCCCTGCCACAACATCTTTTCAACCACCACCACTACAAACACCTGTTGTACTACAAGCACCACCACCTGATCCAACAACAATCACTTCACAGCAGTTGACCACACCAACTCCACCACCACCACCTCACACCTCAACAACCTCACCAGCGACCTCTCAACCTGCTTTAGCATCCATCAACACACCCGTGCAGCCTCCGCCGCCACACCACATACCACGCACTACCAAGCCAACACCATCCATTGCACCCACACTCAGCACTACAAGAGGCATTTGGCGCGACCCAGATCGCTCACCACCACGCACACCTGAACGCCACCGCTACTCAGCCTTTCCAGCCGTACCTTCCATTGCACCATCACAAGCTACATCCAGATCCAGGAGCCGCACTCGATCACTGCGCACCCCACGCTCTCCACTACCAAGACGTCGGAGCTCCACCACACAATCCGTGGCTAGCTCTCAAGCTCAATCCAAACCTGCAGACAGACAAACATCACGATCACCAGCAATCACCCAGGACAATGCTCACACTTCCAGCCAAAACATCACTACAGCGGCTACTGAAAAACACACACCAGAGCCCCCTCGCCGTGCTTCCAGCATTACACTCAAGCCCAACCCACATTTCACTCCCAAACACTCCACACAACAGACACCTCCACCACCGCCACCAGCACCAATACCTGCAATTCCAGTCCAACGTCGACCACACAACCTACCTCCTCCAACATTCCAACCACCTACAGATCCAGCACAGTTGGAGGTCTTTCAGTGGCTCAACCGCTACGCACAAGCACTTGATGTCAACAATGAACCCATGCTTTCATATGTGGCCAAAGTGCTCAGTGCAGCTCATCTTAACAGCACCCACTTTACCGACCTACAACTCCTCACCCACAAAAAATGGTGCGATGAAACCAACAAAGAAGAACATCATTCCTTCCTACTACTCACAATCCCCACATTAGCGAGCAGGGGCGACGCCCCGATTCTTCCTCCTACACGGAGAGAGGCGCTGAACATACCACCTATCAAACACATCTTTGCGGCACATGTGAGCGAGGAGGGCAACATCATTTCAATACTTGAAGCAGGAGAAATTGTGCGATCCATTCTGCATGATGCTCACAATGTGGGATATTTTTGTCAGGCGTTTGAATTGTCGAACTATGAGCCCCATGATGCTGCTGAAGCTGCACGCGTCCTCTTCAATGCTTCCAATATGGCCAAGAACCGCAGCGGTCTCATTCTGACGATCAAAGCCTATGGACACGGCCAGAAAGTCACTCATGGAGGCGAATCCGCAGCGAATGACTTGCTGCTCAGAGGAGAAGGGATTGTAAAATACACCCCAGGAAAATGCTGGGTAGCCCATCCCAAACATTCCAGAATCGAAGGGATAGCTTGGAAAAGCGACGCAAGGCCACCGCTCAGTTTCATTTAATTCGATTGATTCCGCTCACGAGGTTCATTTTTCACCCCGTATCTTGGATGACGACCTAGCCTCAAACAATCTCAGCCAGCCCGCTTGATATTGACATTGACTCTGTTTTTCACACACATCGTTGTCAACTTCTTTTTCTTCCGACATGTCATTCTTGTACAGTTTGATGCCGACAACATGATTTTTTACACTGACTTTTCCAATTTTCCAGACTTGCAGCATGTCAACATTCCTGAGTGTTATCAAGCTTTCTGATGAAGAAGAGAGTCACAAGCATTTTGAAGCGAGTCGCAAGATTTCCTGTGATTTGCAACCTGCCCCGCAGCCATTTTGTATTATCTTGAATATTGAGCTCGATCCCTAACCTAACGACCAGCCGAGCTATATTTGCCTCCCGACGACTACCACGACGATGACTTCCCCTTTGGACACGGCATTTGCCCATCGGCTTCTCTTAGCACACTTACAAGCAGCCACTTCCATTGCTACTACTTTTCAAAACCTTCCACCATTTACACCGCAACTACCACAACAAGCCCATCACCCACTCACTACCACTCCACCTTCACCTCCAAGACCAGCCAGGCACACTCCTCCTCCACTGCAACCACAACCGTCTTTCTCACGCAGTCGCAGTCCACCTCCGGCCCAAGGCAAACCATTCATGGAGTGCAAACCAGAACCTTCTCCTTCACATACGCCCACTTCACCACATCAGTTTTCACCACACCGCCACAAGTCCAAAGCGACTCACCAACACAAGGACAATACAGTCCTCCCGAAACAGCGTACACCACCAATCACAACGATTTCTCTCACCAGTTCGCCCAATACACCTCCACAAACATCACCAGTTCCACCGAATCCACCACCTTTGCCACCTGCATCACCAGCACCACCATCCAAGCCAGCGCACCTCCTCACGGATTCATCACACTATCCTGACAATGGAGGATGGGAACCCAGTGAAGATGAGAAACTTGCGGCCTTTAAACTCAACAAAAAATCTCGCCCCAGTTGGAAATACATAGCAAAAGCACTCAACAAAACACCTTTTGACTGCAAAGGTCGATGGCAAGTCTTGCGAATTCTTTATACACCTCAACCGCCAGACAGTCCAGAAGCACAAGCATCATCACCACACAAGGCATCTCAACAAGCAGAGGCAACTCCTCCAGCCACAAAAGATGCCAGTACGATGACTACAGAACCTCCAGATCTGACTGACAAAGAGACATAGAATACACAACAGCAGTCTATGATCTTCCAGACAGTGCTTTCCACGACTTCTTGGTGCTGAAGAACATCCCGAACTATTGATGCCTTTGTACGGTATTTTATTGTCAACTCGTACATATTTACATATTGGCTTATTGCTTTTTGTCGTTCCAGCAGTTGCGAGCAATAGACTCCAACCCACAACACACCATTACAGCTTTCTTTCACACGCGCAGCAAAAAACAGGATTGATCGCCAGCAGTGCACTTTTTGCTTGAACACTTTTTGCTTGAACACTTGCCACACAAGACAAACTCTCGACCACTACAGCATCGCCAATACTGTGTACAGACCAGTTTATTCCGTCTAATTCATCGTTTCATCGTTTCATTGCATCCATGCGAATCACTATTGAATGGTCTCCCTAGTGTTGAACAGGATGATTTTTCGTTTCCTTGTTTTCTTTTTGAGTGATTTTGACCGCGTTTATATCCACACTTTGATGCAGTTTGATATACTTGCAGCTCGGCTAGTTCAACTTAGCTCAGCCTTCCATTCTTGTACAGCTTTTCTCTCGACGACGACATCGCGATGGATTCAGATCCTGTTGGGACAGACCTCGTTGCCTTGGATGCCCAGATCATTTCACAACTGCGAGATACAAACATTCAGATCAATCGGCTGATGGTCCTACAACTCAATCGACTACACGACACTATTCGACAGCTACACTCAGCAGAATCCCACACAAGCACCCCAGACCCACGTCTACCAGGAAGAATCCAACAGCTCCAAACATTGTTGCCGTCGCTCAAAGCAACCGTGGAGCATCAACAGACTTTTTACCAACAGTGTCTCAGATTACAACACATACCAACCACTCTTCAACACCAAGTTTTACGCTTGGCCACTACTTTGGACAAGACCCACACGACTTCTCCTTCCACTTTCGAACGATCAAACACACCTCCATCCCCCCGGCAACCCAAGACAGCCCCACCCTCACTTA